GGGTGGAGGAGCATGCGGGGCAGGAGGAGGAAAGAAGCCAAGCACGTACGCAATCTCTTTCTGCATTTTCATTCCTATCCCAACATTGGTGCGCACGTTCGACTGCACCAGGACTTGCGTTAGGATTTGTAGGAAATGTGTTCTGATGCATATTGAGACAGATGGTTCCCATAACGAGGTTCCTACCCGCCACGCTTCAATCCAATATTCTGTCCAATCTTGCTTGCTGAATGCCGCCGGCTTCGCGGTAATGCGAGACGCCGACGTGAATACCGATCTCCGCGGTAAGGTAATGACAGGAAAATAAGCGACAACACGGATTCAGTTTAATTGTTTATAAGTTTTGGCATCGAGAATAGGCTTCAGTATCGACGGTATTGGTTTCAATATCACGGTTATTGTTTCAATAAATACACTTAGGAATGTTTCACCAGATTCTTGCGTGAGCTCCGTATCGTCTCCGCGAGCAGAGGTTGGCGGAGGAATGGCATCGGGGGCGCACGGGGATGGGAGAACATTGAGGTCAACTAGATGTCTTGAAAACTTAGAGGGAAAGCGAGACGGTCGGAGGATACGAGGCGGTAGTATTTGTTCGTGGCTCGTTTCCCTCACCGGAGTTGGCACCGGTGTTTGGGTAGTTGATGGCATCGTAATCGTTCAATAGGGGGCCAGCGCCGACGCAAACACAGATGTAGTACCCAACCAAGGTAGTTGTATCAGTCTTGGATGACGAGCTTCTCCGATACGTTTCCCAGCCAGCGGTGAAACCTTGCATGGTAAATTGTACAATGCAGATAAACGTAAAAAGAAATTATCGAACCGATTTGGGATGGCAATCTTCGCAAGTCTTTGTACCAGAGTATTGACCCCAACCGTAATGCGTCTGCACACGTTTCGCACGGTACCGTCCCTATCGTACGTGTAGTATATCCGATTGCCAAATACTTGTGTTTCTACATATTTCGACGTCGTCAGTAGGGTCGGAGGGCGGAGGGATCGGAAAGAACGCCTTCCAGAATTGGCATGGGATCGGAAAGATTGGAGGGCGGAAGGAACGGGGGGCGGAGGGATCGGAGGACAGAGGGATCGAACGGCACGCCTCTAGCAGGAGAGGTACGGGATTGGAGGTAATTGAGGGCGGAGGGATCGGAGGACGGGGGGATCGGAGGCCAAGGGAAACGGAGAACGTAGGGGATTGGGGGAAGGGGAAGCCGGCGGACGGATCGTAACGGGAAGGGGCCAAGGTCGAGGATTCCGGGTTAAGTTATGATATGCAATATTTGTTCTCCCTATGTCGGCACAAATACCAAAGTTGGATAATTTAGTGGTGTTGTAGCCGACGCCACGTCGTGAGTCGTCGTAGTGGTTGGAACCGGAATTTTCAAAGTTGTCGGGCATGTAGGTGAGGTGGACTTAGTGCGTCGGTATCTTTCAGATCCGGCGTCGTGGGACTTGGCGTCGTTAATGGTGTTGGCGCCGTTGGTCGTGTTGGCATACCTTTATTTGTCGATGCCGTCGGTGCCGTCATACATGTTGGTATCAGCGTTAGGGTGGACATTTTCTGTGTCGTCGGATTGGCGACGGCAATAATATCGCCCATAATAGTAGTGACACTCACGCCTATCAAAGTGGCCTGGAGCCGTACGGCGTTTGCCTATTTCCGTGTTGTAGGCATTGTAGGAATTTTAGACGTTACCACTAGAGCCATCGCCAGAGCGATCGTACCCGGGGAGACTGCTGTAAGGGCATTGGCCGTCTGACTTGCCTCCGTCGAACCACCGCTTTATACGGGCGTGGTGGAAGTGTCGCAGCTTTTGGTCGTAACCCTAGTGGAGGGTACGCAGTTGGCGCCGCCGCCGCCCCCGATTGTGGTGCGCCGGTTGGAACCCTCGCTGCAGGAAATTCTGGCACGTGCTGGGGAGGCCCAATCGGCGCTGGATATTTTGTTTTGTGCAGCTTGGTCTGGCGGCAAGTGCTCTTGCAAAGCGTGTGGGGGATTCCCCGTTACCGCCAAATGCCCGAATTTTCCCTATGCGATGCGTCCGGCGTCGGCGTTGCGGGGGCAAATAATGATTTTAACGGATGGTGGGAGTAGCCCGCACGTTGCATGATTGACCAGGATGCCAAGGAGAACGCCAAGCGCTAGCGATCATTTCATATCGCGAAGGGTGCTAACCCCGATATGGAGTAATATGCTAGGTTCTCTCCACCGCAGATGGTGTCCGCGTGGATTTTTTGCCATTTACGGAATTTTTATGACGACTGGTTGGGTTACCACCCACGGCCCCGACGCTCCATTCGCCACCCGGGCTGGCAGGGGGAGGCGCTGGGCATCTGCCCATTGGTTTTCAACCGTATTGACCACCGACGTCAGCGTCAGCGCCGATGCCAATGCCAATGATCTACGGATACATGGCGCGCTGTGGTTCTGCGACCAATGGCTGTATTATAAGGGTAGACATTCTATTTGTGGGTGCGATTTGTGGCAGGACAAATACGGCGATACCATCAACATTTACGACGGTAAAAATCGAATTGGTACCCGAATTTGTACCGATAGCATCGCTGGGGTTATCCACCAATCCCACGTTATCCAGCATTGATTTGGGATATTCCCATGGCTACAACACGACCGTTTTTGACTTCGATGCTTATGGCAGTACGGGGAATAAATATTACAATTTTAGACGTTTCGCGTATCCCCACAAGTTTTTTTTTTTTTACAGCCGCAGGCGGGAGCGCCCGCGGCGATCAGTCACGGTCGGGCTGCGGCCGTGACTAAATTCCCGGGTGCGCGCGGGAGCCGCGGATCAGGCGGCGGCAGCGGCAACCCAGGGTGTCTGAGAGGCCAGGCGGTCGTGCAATCCCAGGGAGTCTGAACATTTATATATATATCTATATATATATATATATTTTACTCTATATAATAATTCATATATACTTAATAGATATATATAATATTATATATATAGATATAGATAGATATATATTAATATATCTATACTTAATATGTTCATATATTAATATTATCTATATAGATCATATATATATATATATATATATATAATAATAAAATAATAATAATATATATATATAAAAAAAATCCCCACCAGCTTGTCCAGAAACGATGCCCAGGCGAGTAGAGGGTCGTGTTGAGGTGCTTTTCGGCGTCTTGGGTGCCTCGGGGGGGGCCCTGTGGGCCGTTCGGGATCCTTTTTGGGGCCTCCTGGGGGCTTCTTGGGCACTCTTCGGGCCATCATGGGGCCTTTGGATGCCTCCTGGGCGCTTGTTGGGGTCATCTTTGCCCCTTCAGGAGACTAAAGTGGGGACACAATCTCAGTAAAATCAATGAGTTTGGCTTCTCCCCCCGTCCAGGTCCACGGGGAGGGGGTAGGGGGAGGGGTAAGCTCCTCCCCGAAGGGAGAGGGAGGGGTGGAAGAAGAAACGCCTTAAACCGCCGACGCCCAGAGGGCTGGTGGGATTGCCTCGATCAGGGAGGTGGACAGCACACAGAGGAAGCCAATATGAGACATCTTGGGATTTCTTGAGCCATTTTGGAGGTTATTTTGGGCTCTCCGATGCGCTTTTGGAGTAATTTTAATCAGCGCCTCCTCCCAAGAGGCCAACATGTGGCTAAAACCTTGGTGCAAACAATGGTTTGACATTATCGCTGAGGCCTCTGGGAGCACCTTGTCTGGGGGGCATATTGGAGAGCCTTTTGGAACCATCTTGGAGCCATCCTGCAGCCTCTTGGGGCATCCTGGGGGCCTCTTGCGGCCATCGTGGAGCTTTATTAGCCCTGCCCCCTCAGAAGGCCAAAATGGAGCCAAAACCGTAGTAAAATCAATGATTTTGGCTTCGTCACCGAGGCCGTTCTGGACGCTCTGACCGCTCCCCGCCCTTCCTGTCCATGTCAGTGGAGAGGGGTCAGGGGGAGGGGTAAACCCCTCCCCGAAGGGGAAAAGGGAGGGGTGGAAGAGGAAACGCCCTAAACCACCGACGCCCAGAGGGCTGGTGGGAATAATGCGTTCAAGCAACGTTCCTTCCCGCGTTCATTCTTTTGCCCGCCCTCTTTGCCCCCGATGAAGTCCGCTTATCAGAGGACCCACGGAGGCTCAAAAGACAGATCCGATGATAGTTGCATTAGAGGCTTGTGTGGGAATCATGTCGGAATATCGGAGGGCAATCTTATTAGCAAGGGCTCCACGATGGTTCCCAAAAAATACCCCGATATGGCTTCGACTTTGGCATTTCGATCTTCAATTTGATTACAAATTCTGGTTACCGTCGCCCTTCCAATTCCGGCTCCGACCATTATCGACCATTTACTTGTCGCCCGTAATTCCGGCATCGATTTCGGGCATTACGATGGCTACAACACGAGTATTTTGTCAAATTTTGGTGCGTAGGGCAATACTAGGAATACATATATATATATATATATATAATATATATATATATATATATATATATATTGCAGTGTTCCACACGAGTTTGTATTGCAGCTCACTTGTAAAGCCGTCCACCGTATGTGGCTACCTTTGCTCAAGCCTTTTTCGACGCGAGCCCTCGACGGCCCCGCGACGATCAGGACTGGTGCATGGTCGTCGGCCAGATCGCCCAGGCAGCGATCCTCGGGGCGGCGAACATCGGCGGAGCCTGGCTGGGCCGCTGCCCCGCTTGCCCGCCGCAGCCGGGGTGCCCGGCGCCTGCACTGAGCTGCCCACCGGTCTCGCTCACCTGCCCGGCGCCCCCGGCGCCGCCGGCGCTGACCTGCCCGCAGGTGACCTGCGCGGCTCCCGCGTGCCCGCCGTGTGAGGCGCCGGCACGCGAGGAGGTGGCGCCGTGCCCCACGCCGGCCCGCGAGGACGCGGGCGCCGACGGCCGCTTGGCCGCCTGCCTGCCGCTGTGAGCCGTGGTGCTGATCGGCGCGGTGGCCTGGGGCTGCGGAGCTGACTCGGTCGCCTGCCTTGTCCAAGGGTGCGCTCGTCGAGGACAGCATGCTGGCCGTGGTGTCATCGTCCGACCTGGTGCCGGGGGACGTGATTCTAGTCCGCTACGCCGCGGACGATCTTTGGCATGAGCGAGTGCTGTGCTGGGCGTTGCCCGTCGACAAGAGTGGTGCCGTGCATTGGGTGGTGGCAACACCCGACGGAGACATGTGTGTGGAGACGATCGAGGGGGGGAGTCCCGACGACAGCCCTGTGGAATGGATCCGCCCGGCGACCGACGGACGCCTCCCTGTTGGTTTCCAGGGCGCCGTGTACTCCTTCCAGCGAGGCGAGATCGACGGGGCCCTCTTAGAGAAGTGCGTGAAGAAGGGTGCCACCATGGCGTTGAAGGACGCCAGGGAGCACGGCGAGTCCACCGTCACCATGACCGTGGCCCGGGCCCCGGGCGGCCGCAGGGTGCCGATCGAGGAAGTCGTAGGCGCAAGGTTCGTGCAGCCGGCGCTACGTGACGGTGCCCCTGACGGCGCAGACGCGGGAGGAGCCGTGGTGGCAGGGACTGCTACGCCGGGGACCGGCGTGTGGCGCGTGGTGGAGGAAGGCAACTCGTTGGGCTACGACGTGGGCCGTGAGGTGAAGCCCGTGACGGTGTATATCGGCTGCAAAGGCGTCTACTCGCCCGACGGCAAGGACTCAGTGTTCGTGGAGTTCAGTGACGAGGACGAGGGCGACTTCGTCAAGAGGGTGGCACCGCGACCCCCGCCCAAGGAGTCCTCGGCGCAGGATGCGCGCACGCTGGCCATCAAGTTCAACCCGCAGGGCCATATGCGAGACTGGCGTGATGTGGTGGATAGCTGCCAACAGGAGGAGTTCGAGGACTTCCCTGTGAGCGGGCCCCGCAGCATGAGCTGGTGCCTGCATTTCTTACGACGTCGGCACACCCCCCTGGACCATCATCTGATGTTCCGCAGCACGTGCTCGCTGAAGCCTGAGCAGTGGGGGGTGGTGGCCGAGCACGAGACCTTGCTTCGCATCATCGAGCTTGCGGGGCAGTATGACCAATTGGATGTGACGAGCCTGGCGTGCATGGAGGCGGCGGCGCGTAAGGTGCAGACCATCGAGTGGGCCTACCACGATAAGATCAGGGAGACGGACGCAGGGTCCACCTCGCGGCTATCCATCGAGGAGGCCACGGCCTTCTCAAGCCTCAGCCGTGCGGGGGACTTGATGATGGTGGCGCCCGCTCTCCTAGAGCACGTGAAGTTGCAAGTAGAGAAGGACGCGGCCATCATGAAGAACATTAGGAAGGCCAAGGAGGAGAGGGAGCTGAGGAGGAAGGACAACAAGGGCAACAACAAGGAGAAGGGGTGAAGGCCCCCGGGGAGGAGGGGAGCCAGCATCGCCCTCCTGCCCCGACACTACCTCCTGGCTTGCACTGTATCGTACCTGACGAAGGCTTAATTCATAGTCATCCTCCTGGGCTTGGGCCTCCCAGTTCGGATAAGCCAGCTCGGCCGCTGCGCTCGGGCGGCCCACGCCATCGTGACATTTTTCCTCTTCCTTATCTCGCTTGGAGTACTGCTGACATCGACGCTTCCGTCTACTCAGCGGCTAGAGGCGACGACCGACCTCGGGCTCCATGTCGGCGCGCGAGGCGTCGCATCCTGAGGCGCCAGGCCGTCGCCAGCATAGCCAACCAGGCGATCTACACCCTCAGCGACTTGGCAGGCGGCGAGCGGGGGTCTTCCGTCTCGCAGCCTGGCGAGGGGCGGGCCCCGCACGGGGCTGTGCAGCGACGTGTATATGCGGCCGCCGCGGCGATGGGCCCGCCACCTGCTCTTTCGCCCTCGGGAGCCCTGCAGGAGCTCCGGGGGTGCACGGTGTACGAGGACGTCCAGTCCACCGTGGTGCCCTTCGACGATATGAAGGCCTCCCTGCCGATGAGCGGTAATCGTCCCGTTCCCCTGGCAGATCTTTTTGGGGCCGGTGGTCAAGCTGAAGTCGACGGGTTTCTTGACTCTCATCTTCTCAAACTAGAAGCAGCCTCCCACAACCTCAAGGGGGCCCCTGCCCTCGGGAGACCTACATGGACGAGGTGCTTCGGAACTCTCCGCATGAATACCGGCGGCTGGTCAAGAGGCTCGAGAGGGCCGGGATGATCGACTACACCATCCAGCCGCAGGAGTTTTGTTCGCTTTTTTTCGTGAGAAAGAAAAACGGGAGCCAGCGGCTGGTCGTCGACTGCCGCCGCTCCAACTGTTGGTTCTCGGCCGCGGACCCCGTCGAGCTCAGCACGGGCGCTGGCCTCAGGAACTTAGAGGTGCCGGACGGGGCGCGGCTGTACGTCGGCCACGTGGATATCAAGGATGCCTTCTACCACTTCGAGCTGCCGGAGCGCGTGCGCAACTTGTTCGCGCTGCCGGCGGTGCCGGCCTGGGTGGCTGGCTTTGCTGAGGTGGGCGGCGTGAGAGTGAGCCCGGGCACCCCTGTGTACCCGCGGCTTCGAGTGCTTCCCATGGGATGGTCACACGCACTGTGGGTTTGCCAGACCTTGCATCGCCGTATCATCCAGGATATTCCGGGCCTCGAGCCGACCTCGTTTCTACACGACCGAGGGCCAGCGCCTGCGACCACCCCCGCGTGCCACACCGTCTACGTTGACAATTTTTTGGCGCTGGGCACCTGCCGATCGACAGTCGAGCAGCTGGTGCGTCAGGTCGATGAAGGTCTGCAGCCCCGGGGCCTTCCGACACACGAGGTAGCCACGAGCTCACTGGAGGAGGAGGTCCTTGGGTGGGAAATCAACGGAAGACTGGGCTTCATTCAGCCGCGTCCAGAACGTGCGTGGCGCATACGTCTTGCGCTGGACGGCTTGCTAGAAACGAAGAAGGTGTCCGCCCGCGACATCGAGAAAGTTGTGGGGCACTGCACCTTCCTCGCCCTCCTCTCTCGGACCTCGCTCTCCATCTTCCGGTCCGTCTACACCTTCATCGCTCGTCATCGCGATCACGGTACCGCGCCGCTCTGGGAGTCTGTTCGCTGGGAGCTCGAGGCGCTCAGGAACGTCATTCCCTTGATTCGTCGAGATTTTGGGGCTCCGTGGAGTTCGAAGGTTATGGCATCGGACGCTTCTTTCTGGGGCTACGGCGTCGTCTCACGGGACCTCCCTCCGGACAAAGTTCAACAACTAGGGCGTGTCAGTGAACGATGGCGGTTCTCGGGTAAGGCTCAGGTCAGATCTCGTGAAGGGGTTCTGGGGCCCGACGGGAAGCTCGACATCGGCGACTGGGTGAAGAAGGTGGAGGAGGACAGTCAGGAGAGGGAGCACGCCCTTTCGGATCTGCCGGAGGTCTTGAAGGAGAGGGGGTGGGCGGTGCTGATGAGCAAGAAATGGGAGGTGCCCATCTCCAACATCGTTCAGGGAGAAGCTCGGGGCCTCACTGCAGCTGTAAAACATGTGTGCCGATCTATGAAGAATTTTGGACGTCGCCACCTTCTCATGTTGGATTCCCTTACATGCGTACTGGCTCTGTGCAAAGGACGCTCATCCGCCGTCGGCGTTTGCGCCGCTCTCCGATCCGTGGCCGCCCATGGCCTTGCCACGGGCGCGGTCTTCTCGGGCCGCTGGTTCCCCAGCGAGCGGAACCATGCTGACGGGCCGTCGCGGGGGCTTGGCCACGCTGGATACGGATGGGGCCTCTGCTGGCAAGGTCGACGCCCAGAGCGACCACCGCGCCGCGGGGGACAGCTGTGGCGCCGCGAGTGGGCCCGAGGCCGCCCGCGCTGACCTACCCAGTGCGGGGCTGCCCAGCGCTGGGTCGGCGACGGCCGAGGGCGTCCTCGCCGCCGAGCGTGGCGACGGCAGGCTCGTCGCCGGGCGCGCCGCCCTGGCGCCCGCTGGGCCTTGCGAGGACATGCCCGCGGCTGCTGCGCAGCGCTGCCACCCAGCTGAAGGCAGCGCGGCGAGCGCTGCGGCTGCCAATAGCAGGACGACAGCGCTATCTGCAGGCTCGGTCCGTCCGGACCGAAGCAGTGCGCCTACGCTACTCGGAGTTCTTAGAGGAGCTGGACCAGTGGCTCGGGCTCAGCGGCCTGAGTCGCAGGCCGTGCCCGAGCGGCCGCCTGGGTGCTGGGACCGTGGGCCAGTTCGACCAGGACCTGAGCGACTGGATGAACGAGCAGTACATGGAAGGCTACGACCACTGGCGCGGGTCGAACATGATGGCGGCGATCGCCTGGGCAGACCCTCGCCTGGGCCGCGTGGGGGGGCACGGGCTTCCCCTTTCGCGGCAGGCGCTGAAGGGCTGGCGACTCCTGACGCCCGCCTCCAGCCGCCTGCCGCTGCCGGCCGAGGTGGTGCTTGCCATCGCGATGGAGCTGCTGGTGATGGACCGCTGGAGCATGGCCGTGTGCACCATGCTGTCCCTCGTTTTCCTCATGAGGCCCGGCGATTGGAGGACAGTGCGCGTCGAGCACCTGGCGCCGCCTGCAGTGGGCGGCAGTCGCGGGCTTGCCCGCTGGAGCCTGGTGCTGCACCCGTTGGAGAACGAGGGCAGCCTGCCAAGCAAGACGGGGGAGTTCGACGAGTCGCTGCTGCTGGACTTAGAGGAGGACCAGTGGCTGGCGCCGCTCTGCCAGCGTCTCGTGCTCGGCCGCAACCCGCAGGAGCCCTTGTTCGCCTTCAGCGCCAGGCCGAGTTCGCGCGGTGCTTCAAGACGGCCGGCGCAAAGCTGTTGCTGCAGCGCCCTCCGCCGCCCTACATCCTGCGACACTCGGGCGCCAGCCGCGACTTCACCGAGCAACGCAGAACGCTGGTCGGGGTGAAGCGCCGGGGAAGGTGGCGCACAGACGCGAGCATCAGGCGCTACGAGAAGTGGGGCAGACTGGGCAGCGAGTTCGCCAAGCTGCCGCTCTGCCTCCAGAACCATGCACGCTGGTGCCTTAGGTACTTCCCCGCGGCGCTCTCCGGATCGCTGCAGCCACGCGGGTTCCGCGCCCCCTGAGGATGCGAGTCTTCTTGGAGGTGTTCGCTGGCACTGCTCGGCTTGGCCGAGCGATGGCGGCGCAGGGTTTTCACGTGTTGGTTTGGGACGTGAAGTATGGCGATCAGTCCGATCTCACCTCGCTTTCGAAGCGTTCACTGATTCGTGGGTGTTTTTTTTGGTCGTGCTATACTGTCTGTGCATTTCGGCGTCCCTTGCTCGTCGTGGTCCCGAGCGCGGGACATCCCACCAGGCCCGCCGTCGCTGAGGTCCAACGATCTCGTCATGGGGCTCAAGGACCTGTCTGCAGCTGACCAGGCCAAAATCGATCTCGGAAACACCCTCATGTCCTTCACCGTATCGTGTTTACATGTTTGTCGGAGGATGAGAATTTCGGGCACAATGGAGAACCCCGCCACCAGTAGGATTTGGCTTGCGCCTGCCGTCGTCTCCCTCGCTCGTAATTCTTCCTCTCAGGTTGTTTCAACCGACTTTTGCCAATTCGGGACGCCCTGGCGTAAAAGAACAAAGTTTTTGGGCGTCCTGATTGATTTAACCTCGATAGAAAGACTGTGTAAAAGAAAGAATAATTGGTGCTCGGCCTCTCATAGGCCTCACCAGAACCTCCAGGGTAAAAACTCGGAGGGTCGGTTTTGGACAGAGGTGGCTGAACCATACCCTCCTCGGCTTTGTCGGGCGTTAGCGCTGGCCTTCTCTGATGCTCTCGTCGCGCTCAAGGCGCAAGGTATGGCCAGTCACCTCTGGTAGGTTAGTAGGTTTGTATCGTTCTTTCGTGCGGCCCTTCGGGCCAGTGGACAAGTAAAGTTGGCTCTCTTTTCTGTCAGTGCGGATCTGGTGGCCGGCGCCCACTCCCATTTGTATATGTTTGTCGGCGCTGGCTGTCTCTCAGGTCCTGGCGGAAGTCGAGCCTCTCAGATAAAAAATTGTCCCTGGTCTCGGGGGAGGTGGAAGACATTGCAGTGTTCCACACGATCTTGTATTGCAGCTCACTTGTAAAGCCGTCCACCGTATGTGGCTACCTTTGCTCAAGCCTCCCACCCGCGTACCACCCTGCTCTCACAGTGCTGCTCCCTAATGATCTGGTGGCCGGCGCCCACTCCCATTTGTATATGTTTGTCGGCGCTGGCTGTCTCTCAGGTCCTGGCGGAAGTTGAGCCTCTCAGATAAAAAAGTGTCCCTGGTCTCGGGGGGGTCGAACGGTCGTTCCCCTACCACGGCATGGACATTATTAGTATTATCACCCCGATTCTTGTTGCACCACACCGCTAGGGGCGGCAAAGCCGGTGAAAAAGAATTGAAGCAACGAATCGCGTTGTTCGATGCTGGCAGGTGGGATCAATTGCTGATTTCAGCTCGGAGCACCATCGCGCAGCCTCGCATGAGCAAGCGAGCGCGGGACCCAGAAAGCCAAAAATTTGACCAAGCACTGCGGTTGCCCAAAATGGGCGAATTAAGCCATGCGGTTCGCGTATGATTGTCATCTGGTCTCGCTGCAGGGAATGATGTTTTTTCGCGACCGGAAGAACCAGCTGAACCTTTCTCAGATGGTCTCTACGCTTTTCAACCAGCGGATGTGCTCACATTGGACAAGCAGTTGTTTGGAGATGTTCTAAGACAAACCCGACGGGCACTATCAGCGGGCCTATGGGGTGCAAGATACGACACTACAAAATTTGCCTGGAGAGCGATACGGCTTTCGAAGCTTTCGGCAATGTCGCAGAACCCCTCGCCCGAGCACAAGTGCCCGTCGCTATCCGAGATGCTTTGCATGTGTCGTCGCTCACGGCACTGACCAAACCAAACAATCGGAATCATGGGCTTTCAACACCGATGCTGTTATCCATTTTCTGCGGTACGTGTCGGGAAAAAATCCACATAGGGTCAGAATGAGCATTGATGGTGTGGGAGCGTTTGACCATGTCAGTCGGACGCGAATGTTTGAGAAGCTCATGAACAACCAAACGCTTCAATCATTATTGCAATTTGAGCGTCAATAGTATGGTCTCCAATCCAACTTTCTACGGCGAGACGGCGAAGAAAACACATGCAATATTACAAGGGGATGGTGGGGAACAAAGATATGCATTTATGCCTGCATTATTCTGTCTCGCGCTGCACGCAGCCTTGTGCAGGATACGAGACAACCACCCACCTGGGGCAGAGATCATCGCCTATTTGAACGACCTCTACGTTGTATGTGATCCCGAAGATGCCGCTCCTATTTTACAGTACGTGTCATATGAACTCCTACGGACATGCCACATCAACATCAATATGGGGAAACTTGCAATATGGTGGGTTGCACCGGGCCCCTGCCCAAAAGCACTGGCGGCAGCAGCACCCACAGCGTGGCGGGTCGACAAGCCACTACAAGAACGAGGGATCAAAATATTGGGCGCACCATTCGGAAGCGCAGAGTATGTTGCTACATTTACATTTGGGGCTAACCTAACTGCCGAGAGGACGAAGCTGCTGAACTACCTCCCGAAGCTCCCTTCTCTCCAAGTGGGATGGTTACTTTTATACTATTGCGCGGTACCCAGACCTAGCCACTTACTCAGAACCACGCCTCCTTACATAGTGCGACGCCTGGCGGAAACCCACGACGAAAACATACAATCCACTTTTTCTGCAATCTTTGGTATACCAGCGTGCACCTCTTGGGGCGCTGCATTGCAAGGCATACTCTACGACAACATGGTCAAACAAACGACTCTCCCATTACGACTGGGCGGGATGGGGTTACGGAACGCATGCCGAACAAGTCCGGCTGCGTACTGGGCAAGCTGGGCGGATGCCCTCCCAGAGATTTTCAAACGGTTTCTTGAAACAGGCAATCGAATCGTGCATGCACTCGCGAGCATGCGAGAGACGCCGCGCAACCAAACTTTGGTGGAGCCCAAATGCTTACAAGGCGCTGAACAAGGAGGGCGAGGAAACGAAGACGCTGGGTGGAAATCTCGACCAACTTGGAACGATCTGGCTTCAGGCTTGCAACCGCCAGCACTCCAACCTCACGACGCATCTTTGGGAGAACACAGCCATGGATGTCAATACCACGCCTCTACACCACTGGAAATTGCAGAACATATACAATTACTGCGGGATTTGGCTCCGAATGGGGCCCGGAGGAACGCGGCGGCGCCGGGGAAATCCAGGCTGTTCTCGTGTATGGGGCCACTCGCGTCTATTTAGCTCTTGGTATGCCCATCTACATACACAAGGGCTTACCATGGCGAATAACTTGCTACAGTGCGCGGTGCGCAGGCGCTTGGGTGTCGCGTGCAAGTTTGAAGGCCCAGATCCGCATGGACATTACCGGCTAGCAGAAGGAACAAACAGCAGGTTGCACAGCAGACACAAAGAAATGGTAGCCGCATGGAGGCAAGCATTCCAAAAGGCAGGCGGAAATGTGCCGGATCGGAACATTGAACGGATGCTGTCCCGCACAAACATCCCAGTCCCTCTAGAAGATACGCGGCGTCTAGACATTGTGGTGCCTGGGCTAAATATTGACCGAGGTCTTCCCCTCTTCTGCGACGTCACTGTTTTGAGCCTCATCTCGAGGACCGGAGCGACGATCAAGCACGAGTAATCGAGGAGGGAGTTTGTTAAAGGCAGAGACATAAAATAACGACGACTACCATGAGGTTGTAGATAGCGGGCTTGGGTCTTTATTATGTTTAGGCGCTGAAGTTGACGACAGATGGGGGAATCAATGCATTCGCCTGGTGCCAGAACTCGCTAGAGAACGCTTTAGAGGATTGCACGGCAGAATCCGTAATGGGACCATTATGAGTCTTCAACACCGGTGGTGGGGGCTGCTGGGGATTGCACTGCAATCTGCCGTAGCACACGCTGTGCTGCGGGAGGTGGCTGATCTTCCCGAAATGCGCCTAGAACCCACACCACCGGTCACTGACTTAGAAGTGGTGTGATCCCTCCTCCTCCTCCTCGTCCTTTTGCTCTGCTTGAGGCAGCGCTGTCTCACCCGCGATGCTGTTCGCGTCAGGTGTTTCACCCCATGCCAGCCTGCAGTCTTGGGTCCGAAGTTGGAGGATGAGGTAGGAAAAAAACTTATGGACATATTCCAATCATCGTTCTTCTTTGCCCGTTTGCTTGGAGAATGAAACCCTCGTGCGCTTCCGCGCCTGACCCATGGATGCAATCTTCGTGTTCACAGTCGAACGAGAACGGGATTCGCTAAAACGCATAATCGGCTCCACCGCCCAAAATTTCGATTCGGACTGCCGTTGCGACCATGAATTTGTCCACGGTTTCATTGTCGTTAGCCATTGCGACCGTGCAAATTAAGACAAAAACAAACATATATAAAACAAAATATACAATTTTCGATGTATCCGCGCGGACGAAATGCTCTTCTCAGGACCGCCACGCGCGCCAGAAAAATGTCACATCGCCCCAACGCAAGGTATGTCTTTGTTCCCCTCTCTTTCTCTCTGTTTTTCTTCTCTGTTTGCTTCGCCTCCTCCAGTGTTATTTTCCCCCCTGTCTGGAAAAATTTCAAAAAGCTGCAAAATGGAAAAATGTGCAACAACAAAACAATAAGAGAGTGGAGACGAACGCGGCCAATTCATCACAAAGGGTGGGCAAAGGTAGATCCGCGCAATGACGACGACAAAGACGCACAAGCATAATCTCACCCTCGGGGAGTAACATCGTCTCCGATATCTCGAATTCACTACTCAAAGTTGCAACATCAGAATATGGTTTGGATCAAGATCCGAATGGAAAAGAAGGCGCGCTTGGAATATTCTGCGTTTACGCCCCTCCAAACCCCAAGCCCATCCCAGAGAAGCTGCAATCTTATGCCGATATCGATATGGAATACAAGATTTGTTTTGGCAAATGCTGGAAAGATAATTCTTGGGGACTTGAATGCACGAGTGGGGCGAGCACGCAATGGAGAAACAAAAACATATGATTGGGGATTACGGCGAGGGCAGAGAAGCAACACATGCACTAGAAACTCCAAAACC